CTAAACTATGAACATTAAAGGATAAACATATATAGTACCGAGAATAGAAATATATCCGGTCTTATATGATACGAGTGTGATGTCTTGATATTCAACGGGGTTTTCGGTAGATGAATGTAAGCCGTAACGGGACTTACACGTAACGAAAACAACGCTCTCGCTGCCTTAACCGGAGTTGAGAATATATTAGCGACATCGTATTCATAATTATTGGCAAATAACTAATATTCAACCCTGTTTAAGCATTTAAGTGATTCCCGAAGCCTTAGTTGTTGTTATCATTCATCTTAAACTTAAAATTAGTTAACGATTATCTTGTTGAAAAAAAAGTGAAAAAACCAAAAATATAAAACACAAATCAAAATCCCTGCACTTTATTCAATTCTTCATTTAAAGTTAACTACTCTCGGACTTGAATTAAACAACGTTTCCTTGTGGATTCGACCCGGTATTTTACCGGAATTTATTACTATATCGGCACTTGTACACTTGCAAGTTTAGCCCGATCACATGTCGACGGTTTACTGAGCGGAGGACACATAATATTTTCACCGGAAACCGCTACCGGAAACTTTTCCGGTAGCATAGTGGCATGATTACCAGAACAGTGACACAATTAACGAGACAATGACATACATAAGTGACATAAAAATCTTACAGTGACAATTCATAGTGACATGCAAAAATCGCAGTGACATAAAACTGTTGCAGTGACATTCCAAAAAGGCTAAAGGATCAAATAGGTACATGAACTAACTTAAAGTGTTCAATTAGCCCCTTATATAGGAGGTTCTGCCCGACCGTCGCCAATTGGGGCGGTTCCCGGTAACAATTTTTGATGAATTGTTTTGAGCATCTTCTTCATTAAGTCTAGTTTACCCATATCAAATTTCAGCTAAAAATTAAATCGGGAAGGCAATCAAATGATTTTCCGAAATGTACTGCGCTGTTTAACTGCGCAGTTATCTTCAAAAAATCATTTGACTGCCTTCCCGGTTGAGTTTTTAGCTGAAATTTGGTATGAGTAAACTAGACTTAATGAAAATATGTTCAAAAAATTTCATCAAAAACTTCCACCGGGAACTTCCCTAATTGGCGACGGCCGGGCAGAACCTCATATACAAGGGGCTAATTGAACACATTAAATTAGTTCATGTACCTATTTGACCCTTTAGCCTTCCAAAAATATGACCTTCTTACTCACATTTTTGGCCATATTTAAAAGTAATCACATTTTTGGAAATTGCCTTTAATGTAGTAATATTTAGGGACAAACCCCAACAATGAATCTCGTTAAGAAATCTGTCCGTATGCACAGAGAATGGCTGTGAACCTTGTTAGAAAAGCTGTCCAGATACATCGAACAGATGCTGATTTTTGTAGCTATTAAAATGCAAGCAAATGGAACCCAAAGCCCATTTCCATCGGGGCCCTAGGTATATGGACGAATTTTATGAAAACCTAAAGCATTTTTCAATCCCTCCACACCTATAAATAGGGGTCTCGATTGAGAGAAAGAGGAGAGGATTTTCAGTCGAAGAAACGTTGCAGAAAAGCTTCGAAGAACTTCTGAGAGGCTCTGAACGATTCCGAAGAAGAGGAAGGGATCAAGCCACTAACTTTATTAAGAATATACGAATAATCCTTCGTGATTTCTTCGATTCTTGATAAAATAAGTCCAAAAGTTGAAGAACGGTTGAAGATATGAAGAATGAAACTTGAAGATTCGAAAATCTAAAGAACAAGACTTTGATTATTTGAAGATATGAAAAACGAATCTTTGAAGATTTGAAGATATTCATATGAAGATTGAATCAAGATTCAATTGAAGATCAATCCATATATCCCGGGAGGCCCTTAAACAGAAGATCAAGCCATAAGTGGCCCTTTTGTTGAAGATCAAGCCACTTGAAAACTGGAGATCCTTCAAGTTGGAATCCTTAATTCAAGAATTTTGAAGATCCGAAGAACGAAGATTCGAAGATTCAAAGATCTCAATAACGAAGATTCGAAGATCCGAATAACGCTCGAATTTTTGAAGGATCACAGATTTAATTTTGAACTAAATTCTTTAATTATATTATTTCAAATTGCAAGTGAAGAATCAGAGGATTCATATTTAGAGATTGCACCCGATATTCTCATTTATTATTATTTGCGATCAATTTTAAGTAAATACTTAAAAATTGTTTCAAAGTGATTTAGTTATATCATTCAAAACTTACACAAGTCCTGACATGAGTTACATATTATTATACATATGTTACATAACTTTTATTTGAAGTTACATCTTACACAAGCTGTTCAATAATCAACTCTGGCCAATAGTTGCAGCCACATACTAAGGCACAAAGTTTACATACTTCATAACATAAATATACATAAGGCATACACAATTGGAATACTACCTCCGTCCCTTAAAACTTTGCCAAAGTTGACCAGCACGGAGAATAATAAAGTAAAAACTGTGTGGTTGATGTTTGTGCAGAGGAGAGAGAAATAACAGAAACTACAAAATAATTGATTAAAAGGGAAAGTTGCAAAGTTCTTGGGGACGTCCCATAAAGGAAAGATGGTAAAGTTTTAAGGGATAGAGGGAGTATATATTTTGCTCTCTAGTCATGTTACATATTATCTTACAAAAGTCACACAATTACTCAATGAAGTTCCACCATGCACAACCACTTGAAGAATGTTCTTTGGACAACATTTGCATTCACATAATAAGTTACACATTGTATATACTTGATAACAGAAATAAACATCGAGTAATTTGAATTTCGAAACACAGTCATATCCACATTATGAAATGAAAATTAGTTTGCTCGTATTTACAAGTAAATAAAACATTTTAGAACATATTATGCATATTTTCATAATAAAAAAGTTATTGCATTGATTAATGTTTGAGTCTATGTTATAGTTTATACATGACAACCGATTGTCCTTTAACCCTAACCATTTTGAATCTCTACGAATTTTCTGCGCAACTTGTTGTGGTCGAATCTTTTAGTTAACGTCTTGCGTTCTTCGCAGAGATATAGAAATCAGGAATGATTTGTTTAGAAAATTCTTCGTTGAACTTGCTTCAGAAGAAATGCAGAGCAAAAGTTTTTTCTGAGAGTAGACTTTTGGATTTTGAAGAGGCGTAAATGTAATGACATTGGGAGTGGAACCGCTGGAGGGAAAAGGAGGGAGAGAGGATCTGTTGGTTCGCGTGCGCGTTTTTTTTTGTTTTTAAATTAAATGTTACTTTAATTTGATGCTACGTCATTTTAGCCGCAGGAGTGGGATGCTCAAGATGGGCTGCTCCCACGGAACACGGACTGATGTTTGACCACACATAAATCGCCATGTACATGTAGGCATAAATGTCAGCGGCCACCGGCAGAACTGGTAAAGAACTGGCTAAAAGGAAAAAATGAGTGTTTTTTTATAGTTTGGGGACTTGATTGAGTGTTTTGATAGTACGGGATTCTATTGACTTTTTTGGTTTTAATACGCGAACCAACCTATTTAACGATTTTCACAAAAAGAAAAAAGAGAGAGAATAAAACACAAACAAGCAAGTCAAATCCAAGGATAAAGGGGGTGTTTAGACTTGATTTAAAGCAGAAGCAGAATCAGAATCAGTTTTCAGAAGCTGGTCACCCCCAACTTCTAAAAAAACTGATTCTAGGAGTAAATTAGAGCACCAAAATCACTTCTGCACTTTCACCCAAACACTCCAACTTCTCCTTTTGCTCCATGAAGGATCAGAAACAGTTTCAAGAATCAGATCCAAACACCCCAAAGTTGACGACAAATAATGGGAATGATTAAATTAAGGAATTTTTACCCTCAATAGGACTAAATTGTTCCTGAAATTCCTTAATAGGAGTACCTATAATTTTATTCCCTAAATAGGACTAGGTTACCTATTTGCCCCTATTTTTTGCTTTTTCCCTGCGCATACCGTCGAGCATAGGCGTTGGGCATCATAACTCCCCTGCAAAATTGCTTTTTGCTTTTTTTCTTTAACTTTCTCCCATGCGCATCTTATTAACTCCCTTGCCATCTTCTCCATCTGCTGCACAACTTCTCCATCCGTTGGGCATCTTCTTCTCTTAGCTTCACAAAGAAACAACCGAACCAAGATCCCAGTCATAACCATCATCGCCGTCATCGCAAAGTCCACTGCCGCCGCTGTAGATCAGGTTTTCTTCTCCGCAGATCTGCATCTTCTTCAATTATTCTCCTTGTCCTTCTTCCTCTCTTCTATTAAGTTACATTTGCTAATTGAAACAAAAAATGCCAGGTTAAACATTGAAAATGTCATTAAAATGACATTCTCATTCATAAAAAATGTATTTTCCTTTGAAAATGCCATTAAAATGGCATTCTCATTCATTAAAAATTGCATTTTCCTTTGAAAATGCCATTAAAATGTCATTCTCAATTTATGTTGGCATTTTGATGAAGATATTGGCATTTGTGTTGACAACGACCAGATCTGCAACGGTGGAGGCCATATTGTAGTGGCAGACGTTGGATTAGCTACGATGGTGGCCGGATCTGCAGGGCAGTGGCCGACAGCGGCAGAGACTAGAGATTTGGTCAGATCTCCGGTGGCGGCCGCCAGATCTGCAGCGGTGAGAGACATATCTGCAATGGCGGTGTCCTGATCTACAGTGGCGGTCAATTTTAAGGTGGCGGCGTGGCCGGCGACCGGCGGCTTTTGGCGGTGGTCCAGTTTCTGCTTGGTGGAAGTGTGATTTTCAGACTTTAGGGGTGTTTTTGTCAAATTATAAATAATAACTCCTATTTAGGTCATTTTAAAATTTAGTCCTGTTTTGACAATTAAAGATTAATTTAGTCCTATTTAGGTAAATACCTCTTAAATAAAATAATGAATACATACCTGGAACAGTGTTAAAAATCTCTAAATTATAATTTACACATCTGCCAATTAATTAATAAAATAGATCGTTTTGACGTTTTATGAATTAAATAATTATTTTATGAATTCTCTGCCTGTATGCATTCCCTAGTTCATTTCGGACTTTTGTGTTTTCGGTGTTCCTTTTAACCTCTCAAATACACCTTCTTCCGGCAATTCCCCGACCGGGTGGGGACTTCATGTTCTTCGCCTCTTCTCTAAGCTTTGTAAGGTAAGCGTTTTTTGTTGCTAGTTATTAATTAATCTCTAAAAATCGCGATGCTTTAATTACGTACTTCCTCTGAAGATGACATCTCTGTCTCCAAGTTACGATTTTTATTTTTTGTAGAATCTCTATAGCTAGTTTCATTAGATTTCCTTGATCTGGGCTTATCATTTTCTTCCACTTGTGTCTCTGTTTTTCAAGATAGATTTTATATGTTTTTTCATTTATGACAGAATTCTGTGCGGTAATCTGGATTGGGGTCTTGTGTATGTGCAAGAGTTCATAGCTCTCTGATTTGTTATTTGAGTTATATTTCCAAGAACCATGTAGATTCTGGTTTTTGTTTTCATCTTCTTGGATGATTTCAAATTGGGGTTTTGAGTTTCAATTAGGGTTGTGAGATTCATTTTCTTGAATTATTTCAATTGGGGGTCTGAGCTTCATGGTGGGGTTCAAATCCAACCAGAGGCATGCCAATAGGCTTTAAAAATATAGTCTGTCAGAGACTATTATGTATCCCCACAATTTCCATCCACCTTTACAGGCTGAGGTGAAAGTGCCCATGTGTGATTTAAGAGAGCTGGATGAGGCTTTGGGTTTGACTTGACTCATGTACATCATGGCCTGATTGTGTGCACCTGACCCAATAATAAGAACTGCCAGTTTTTTTTGGGTCTCAAATTCTAGATCCTTATTTGATTGATCTTCTGGACTGTGTTCTGTGTAGAATCTGAAGAGATTATACACATTGTTTGGAAATGCCCTCCCCGGAAAACCCAGGCTCTTCTTCCCGCCTTCCTTTTGGTTCTTTTCGCCGTGCAATTTTCTCCATCAGGCCTGATCAGGTCCATTCGCTAGAACCGGACCGGGAATCTAGTATTGACTCGGGGTCCACAACGTCTTTTCAAACATTAGTATCAGCCCGGTTTGCTGATCTCTCTATGGCCAATGATGATGAATTCCTTTCACTTTCATGGATTATAAAGTTACTGGATGCGTTTGGTGATTGTCAGGATGCGTTCCGTGCTACCCTTTCAAACAGCAAAGAGTTACTCTCCAAACCGCCTCAAGATAAGATTCTGTCTGACTTCTTCGACACGAGCATTAAGGCGTTAGATATTTGCAACGCAGTCCGAGATGGGATCCAAAAGGTTAGGGTATGGCAAAGGCATTTGGAGATTGTGGTTTCCGCACTGGATCCCACCCAACAACAGAGAATGATTGGGGAGGGGCACTTCCGTCGTGCAAGAAAAGCCCTAACAGATTTGACTCTCGCAATGTTTGTAGTAGATGAAAAGGATACTGTGTCGGTCTTTTCAAACCGAAATCGCTCTTTCGGGCAACCTAATAGGACAAAAGACCATCCACACCCTTCACCAAGGCACACAAGGTCTTTGTCTTGGAGTGTCTCGCCTTTGTGGTCCGCATCCAAACAGCTCCAACTAATCGTAAATAATTTGGTCCTCCCAAATGCCACCTCTGATAGTAATGGTCTGGCAACGCTGATATTCACAATGAACCATGTTCTCCTGTGCGTCCTGTGGGTCATTGTTGCTGCTATCCCGTGCCAAGACCGCAGCGGGACCCAAATCAATGTCACTGTCCCTGTTCAATTCTTGTGGGGCCGTTCGCTCCAGACTATACATTCCAGGATAACAGATGCGTCCAAGAAGCGAGACCGGAGAAACCTTAACGGGCTGCTGAAGGAAACATGTCAAGTTGAAAAGGGAGCCCATGAGCTGTTGGAATTAATTGATTCTGGGGAGCGTAGAGACGAAGCCATTAGAAGAGCAGATGCGCTTTCTCAGCTTTGTAAAGCTTACCAGATGGAACTGGGGCCTCTGGAACGCCAATTGAGGGATGTCTTTACGAAAATCAGGATGTGTCGTGCCCAGGGTCTCGAAATTTTGGGCAAGGCGAGACAATGAATGACAAGCCTTTGTTTGTGGAATATATATACATATACATATATATATATACATACATACATACATATATATATATATATATATATATATATATATATATATATATATATATATATATATATATATATATATATATATATATAGTAGTGTTCCGGTCAGGCCTTCCTGACCGGAACCGCTGTCCGGCCGACGGCTTTTGGGGCCCTTCCCGGTGGATTTTTTTGATGAAATTTTTATGGAATGTTCTTCATCAAGTCTAGTTTATCCACACAAAAATTCAGCTAAAAACTCAATCCGGAAGGTCGTCAAATGATTTTTGGAATTTAACTGCGTTTTTTGATGAAATTTGTATGACATGTTCTTTTCATCAAATGTATTTTTTTGCGCAGTTAACTTCAAAAAATCATTTGACGACCTTCCGGATTGAGATTTTAGCTGATTTTTTTTGTGGATAAACTAGACTTGATGAAGAACATGCCATAAAAATTTCATCGAAAAAAGCCACCGGGAAGGGCCCCAAATGCCGTCGGTCGGACGGCGGTTTTGGTCTGGACTTCCGGACCTGAACATTTGTCTATATATATATATATATATATATATATATATATACTGTCACGCTCTTATATTTATTTCCCTTTTGTAAAACTGTGTGAAGAAGGAAGCCTTAACATTCTGCAATTAGGTGTCGTATGTATAACTATTTTGATGTTTAGATATTGGAGTGGGGAGAGGAGTAATCAATTCTGATGTAACTTATGATGCATTTGGGTAGGGATGGACTTGGGCTGGTCCGGTTCCGGGCCCGGACGGGCTTTTTTTGCAAATCCTTGGGCCCGGAACCGGCCCGGGTTGATACCGGGTCCGGGCCTAACCGGACCGGGCCCGGTTCAATGTCTATTTTTTTTTGCTTTCTTGTTATCCCCTGACCCCCCGAGCCCCACCCCCCAAACCTCCCCAAAACACCCAGCCTTACCCTAGGAAAAGAAAAAAAAATTGAAAAAAAAACTCGGGCTCGGCCCGAACCGCCCGGGCCAATTCGCCCAAAACTGCGCTCGAGCTCGGCCATCCCGACCCGCCCAAACGGGCTAAAAGCCCGGAACCGGCCAACCGGTCCTGGTCCGGTCCGGGCCCGCACAGTAGCGGGCCGGTTCCGGGCCAGGCCGGCCCGGTTCAGTCCATCCCTACATTTGGGCATTTAGTACTAGTTAAATGGGGAACTGAATGCCACAAGCCCATTAGCCTCTCATATCAGAGTATGTTGTGAGACAATTACTCAACGTTGTTAAAATCGTATTTTTGGATCGAATTGATAGATGTTTTTGAAAATCGAATCGCAAATCGTAAGATTCTAGCAAACATATCTTAATAAGTATAAAATAAATAAATATTAACATTAAGCTGCAAGTTAATGGTATTATATCATTTCATTACATAAAACTATACCTACAAGGTCCGAAACAAGATTTATAAACTATTTTAATAATGTAAATGTAGTGAATAATAACATTAAACATAAAAATAATTAAATAACACAAGAGTTCATTACTTTTTTAAATATATTATTGATATTATAATTAATGTAATTATGTATCAATTTGTAGTAGTTAAGTTTAATAAATTTGAACCATTTTCACTAAAAAAACTTATTACGATTTTGCTACGATTTTAAACAATTCTACACGATTTTTGTATGATTTTTTATGATTTTATGATTTTACGATTTTACCTGCGATTTGAATCGATTTATTAATGTAGAATCGTAAAATCGTACGATTTTACGATTTAAATTGAGATTTTAACAACCTTGCAATTATTGCTCCTTTGGGCCATGCTTTCCTCTTCTTTTTAAGCCGTCGAGGTATTTAATTACTCAATAATTAATAACAGTCAATATCATTACCCCAGTGTCGCAAAGGCCCCCCCACCTACGGTGGGGTAAGGGAGGGTCGGATGTACGCAGTCTTACCCCTGTACTAAATCACAGAGAGACCGTTTCCGAATGACCCATGGGGGGTGTTTGACAATTGGATGTTGGCTGTTAGCTGATTCTGTTGGCTGATTGGTAGCAGCGGATTCCGTTGGTTGTTTTGATTAGCTTATAGTATTGGCTGTTTATAGAACAGTGTTTGGTTAAATGGTTATTTGCAATTGGCCGATAACTTATTAAATGACTTTTAAGGACATCGATTATTTTATTTTCACTACTAACCACTTTAATATTCGCAATACACATTTTGCTAACATTGTTTTGTATTAGCCATAAGGTGAATAAATGAATGTAATTTTTAGAAAAAGAACGTTGGGAATAAATAGCACCAAAACTCCAATTTTAGGAGTTGGAATAAAAACAAAAAAAAGTAGTAGCAGCCCATTTGTATATATGAATTGTTCCCAACGTGAATTTGGAGTAATTTTGTACATTAGTGAGGTAGCAGAAGGCGTGGGGGTAATCAAAGAGAAGGGTTGCTGCTATATATTGGAGTACGAAGTAACGAAACAGAAGGGAGGCAGCAGAAGGCATGAGTAGATTAGGAAATTTGAATAGAGATTAAAACAGCTGATGTCAAAACGCCATGTTCAGTGGTTTTTTTAAATTTTGGCCGTTTAGGTAAAAAGTCAAACAAAAAAGCTATCTAACCAAACACCCAATTATTTGATCCATGCAAATAAACATATGAATGTACTACAAAAAAACATATGATTGCACATTTTAAATTATTTTATAAACAGGTGAATGTTACGATTATTCATGGAAGGTACCATGTATAATGCATATGATTGGTCCATATCATTATTTATCATGCATTTATGTTTAAATCACGTAATTGTTTATCATTTTTAATTGACCCTTCTTGGCAAGATACAATTTCTTAGAGGTACTATAGAATTTGTCTTATAAAATGGAGATATTTGAAGAATCTGTTTTCTTAATATAAAACAGTTCTAATATATTCTTATTTTAAAATAATTTAATTTATGAATTTACCGCAAGTATAAATATATCCTTATTATATTTTTTAATAGATGTCTATATTTTGTAGTTTCGATTTGTACCTTATTTTATATTTATATTTTCTATTTCTTAATTTCTTATTTCTTTTATTTTTGCAATTCTTACACTTTTAAACGGTTGAGGGGACAAATTGAACAACTCTGTCAGGTTCAGGGGCCTATTTGACCCCTTAAATTGCCACGTGGAATGCATGGTTGCCATGTGGCATCTGCAAAAAATGAGATTCGAACTTTTTTGTCGAGTTCAAGAAGTGAATTGAAGTTTTTTAGAGTTCAAGGGGCGAATTGAGCATTTCGGACGAGTATAGTCGTACAGATGCCTATTTGACCCTTTAGCCATCTTTATATATATATCTATAGTCCTTATAGCGCATGTGGCGAGATGTATGAAAAGAGATACTACCTCTGTCCCTCTAACATTGGGACAAAATGGAGTGTTGCAATTTTTAAGAAAAGACGAGTTATGTGGTTGTTATTGTAATACTCGAGATTAATTTAAAATGATTAATAGTACTATTCATACCAACAAGATGCATCTCCGTTTAAGGATGTTCATCACCTAAGAACTCCAAGTTAAGCATGCTTGCATGGGAGTAGTCTTGGGACATGTGACCCTCTGATATGTTTCTCAGGGCGTGCATGAGTGAGGATAAAGTGTGCGAAAAAGGCTAGTGGCAGTTTGTGAGGACAATACTAGAGGTCCGGATGGTGTGTGGAGTAACTACCTCGGTCCTGCAGGGGCCATGTGTTATAGGTGGTACCAGAGCAACCCTGTGACAGTGTGCTGATCTGTTGGATATCGAGCAGGCACGTAGCAAGGAAAGATTCTGGGATATGATTGAGATTGAATTTGCTTATGGGCGCAATGAGGACGTTGCGATCCTAAGTGGGGGTGATTGTAATACTCAAGATTAATTTAAAAGGATTAATAGTACTACTCATACCAACAAGATGCATCTCCTTTTAAGGAAGCTCATCACCTAAGAACTCCAAGTTAAGAGTGCTTGCAAGGGAGTAGTTTTGGGACGGGTGACCTCCTAGGAAGTTTCTCAGGGCGCGCACGAGTGAGGACAAAATGTGCGGAAAAGGCTAGTGACGGTTTGTGAGATCTGGAGAGTGTGTAGGAGTAACTACCTCGTGTCCTACTGGGTGGGGTCTTACAGTTATTGAATTGGTAACCGCAGATAAACTAATAATGCATTAAAACCACACAAATATTACCCAATACTTCGTCACTATTACAAATAAGAATGACCTTAAAGTCGATTCTTGGTGCACTCTGATAGTAATAATCAATAAGAAACTCTGCACTCTTTCTTACACTAGTACGAACACTTCTAGTATAATTCTCATACATATCCATGATGATGTTGATATACCTACGTGATATCCCTTTATAGACAATTAAGGACCATCAAAGCACTTATAGATGTACCTGATCTTTGTTCGTGTCTCCATAGTTCTACACAAGATACCTAAAAAGGTGAATGCCTCGGTCGTTGAGCGGCTGAGCATAAAATCAAATTGATTCTCCAAAGTTGTCACACTTCTTGAGAGCCTTTTCTCAATCACTTGCTCCCAAAGTGTCATGGTTGTGATTCATAAGTGTAGTCCATCGATAGTTGACACATTCATGTATATCACTCTTATTGTTAAATAAAGGAATAAAAGTACCTTATAAATCAGAGTATACGACTAGAATCCATTGGTCCACATAATTGCACTATAACTGAGGCAGGCCCAATGGCCCACGAGAGGCCCAACAAGTAATCGTCAGGAACCATGAGCCACAACAACTCGTAGAATGGACTACTGGACAACTAAAGGAATCGATCCAAAAGGTCCCCATCACCTGGTTGAGCCCTCAACCAAAAGGACTCTCAGTTTGTTGCTCTTCAGCACCAACGATTGGATTTAATGGTCTACCACGTGCCCGGATCTGCCTTACATTGGAGCTCTCCGTCATAGACAATGGGGGTGCTTGGAAATGATTCTGTTTCTACTTCTTTTTTAAAAGCAAAAGCAGAATTAGAGTCCGTTTTTTAGAAGCTGGTCTCCCTCAGCTTCTAAAAA